CCTTCAGCGTCACCATACACAGCGACCACGTGGCACTCACAGAGAACGTCAACCGCTTCAAGGTGCGGCCCCATTGGCCCCAGGGCCTACCCCCTCCAGCACCTTGGCGACCCACGCGGTCGCCGCCCCGCCCCCGCCCTCCGGCCCAGGCCCGACTGCGGCTGACGCCCTCTGCCCCCCGCCCGCCGCCCGGGCCCTGCCTGTACCCCCTCCGTCGCCGCCAGGTGGTGCTGCCCGATCAGCTTCTGGAGAGCGTATTCAGCGGCTACTATGAGATCTACCTCTACGAGTTCGCGACGCGCGCCGAGGTGTCGGACGTCAACCGCTGCATCTACAACCTCGGGACGCGCGCCGTGCTACTGCGCATGCTGCAGGAGCAGACGCTGTTTGACGTGCGCATGGCGTACGACAAGCGGCCGCGCAGCAACGGGGCCTGCGACTTTGAGTTGGTGCTCGAGTTCCACCGCCGCGCGACGCCGGCGAGCCCGAGGTACAGCACGCCGTGATCTGGGGCGATCTGGAGCGATCTGGGGCGATCTGGTGATCCGGAGTGCGGCCGGCGGACCGGCCCGCGCCGGCGGGCGGGCGGTCCCGAGCAATGTGTCGGATCGACGGCAGCTGTTGTTTTCGGCCTGTCGCAGACAGGCCTGTGGCCCCCTTTGCCCCAGCACAAATTGACAGCAAGACGGGCCGGAGCACTGTTGGCGCGGGGCCGCGCGAGAGGGGCCGTCAAAAGCGCCTGCTTTCACGCGCCAAGCCGAGCAGCTGCTGTTGACCAAAAGTTTGTATGTGCTCACATCACACTACACGAGCGCGCGGCTCGCGCACCTCGACACTGCCCCCGATTACTCTCTCTCCCCCCACTGCGCAACTCGCCTTCAAAACTTGTTCGAGCCTCTCAGCGCCGCGGCGGCGGCGGCGGGCGACGTGCGGCGCGCCCGTGCTGCGCAGACGCGGCCGGGCGCGTGCGCACGCCCACCCCTCGTCCCGCTGATTCGTACCGTCCCTTTCCCTCTTACCCGCCCTGGCCGCCCCACACCAAACGCTGTTGCGCGCTGTGCCCGCGCGGGCACAACCCGTGCAGCGGGCACTAATTGGCACCCCGGCTGGCGGCGTCAGCAGGCTCGCCGCGCGGGCCAGGCTGCTTCCCAGCTTCGTGCCCTCTGCGCCGCACCCGGCCCGCCCCTCCGGCTGCGGCTGCGGCGCGGGCAGGCGGCACCACCTCCTCCTCCCGCCGATTGGGATTTTGGCTGCCGAGCGGGGCTCACTTGCTTGTGCGTGTGTGCAACAGCAGGATTCTCGATATTCGTTCCCGGGCATTCTGACCCGGTTGTTGGCCCCTTGACCCGTTTGTTGATCACTCTTGGCCTGCCGCCGCCACGCGCGTCGCCCGCTGGCAGCCGCGTGCCGACGCGCCTCGACACGCGTGGCAAACACTTGTTTGGCCGAACGCTTTCACCGATTCGCGCCTCGCCTCGCTGGCTTTCGGCGCTGTCACACGTGCGCGCAGGTGGCCTGCAGGCCACCAACCAGCTGCTTGATGCTCGCGATGCTGTGCTGTGGCCCAACCCCCGCAACCAAGCCCCAGCTGCATGGACCACCAAACGCGGCGCCAAGCGTGAGCCCGGCGTCGCAGCGCTCCGTGTGGCAGCAGCCGCACGCACTCCTCAGCGGCAGAGCCCACAAGCGCTCGCCCACAAGTGTGCTCGGAACTGAGCTTGGCTGATGTGAGCTGTACCATCGCCGGTCGGCTTTGGGGCGCGGCGCTTTGCTCCCACGATGCAAGCGCTGCCTCGCAGCTGCTGCAGCACTCGTTGCCTGGCAGCAAACTCTGACCCGGCCGACCGTGCCAGGGCTCGCGGTCTGCAACCGCTTGCAAAGCGCCAAACGCCCGCGCGAGAGAGAAGGCCGGGTCCCCAGCGGGTCGGCGCAGCCGCAGCCCGACAAGCCGCGCCGCAGGTGCGCGCGGCCGAGCGGGGGCCGCACGGCACCGAGACCTGGGCCCCGATTTCCCGGCAGCACGGCCCAGATTTCGTGTGCAAACTTTGTGTGTTTTTATGAGGCCTTCCGTGCTTCCGCCGCTCCCGCCGCCACGTGCGCGTTGAGCTGGTCTTGGTGCTGTGGGCAACCTGCCATGTGCCGCGCCTGTGCCCTGCGGGTCCCAGGCGGTATGTCGGCCGCCAGAGTCCCACGGCTGGCGGCGTTGCTCGATGAGTTGTGTCACCCATGTCAGCACACTACACACACCGCGCCGCTGGACCGCGCGAGAACCCTGCCTGCAGGCGGCCAACCCGTCCGCGCGCCGCCCAACCCTGAACAGGAACCGTTCAATATCGAATCCGCTTGCGTCATGCATTCCATGGCACGCCGCAGCAGCCGCCGACTGGGCCGCCGCGCACCGCGGCGCAGCAACCCGACCGGGGCTTGACCGAGCTTGACCCCTTGTCCCCGGCGCCCACCTCCCGGCGCTGCCTCCGCTAAACTGTTGTGGTTGCAACCCCGCCCCTGTTTTTCGCTTCCTCGCTTGCAGCTCTGTCGCCCTTGCCAGGGGCGCCCTCACCCCTTGGACCCCATGTCCGCTTTTGACAGGAACCCTCTGCGTGTCCGCTTTTTGCCATCCCGCGCGGGCGGCAGTTGGGCCACGTGCTGCGCGCGCACCAGCGAGGCGGGGCCTTGGCCTTGCTTCTGCGCTGTGTTGTGACGGCCGTCGCTCTGATGGCGCAATATTAAGTTGTAACGCTTGCCACTGCTATGTGTCTGCCATTGTGCGGACAGTTTGGCCGGCTTTGGACACCAATTTGCCCGCCTGAGAGCATGCCTGACGACGGGTCATCGCAGCCAATGAAGGCCGAGAGCAGGCTGCTGCTTGCTGTCTCATGCACAAATCACTACTTAACTTGCTGCGCTCCTGCCTTACACCCGAAGGCCTGGCTGACATGTGGTTTGGGGCCCATGCAGCACAGCAGCGAGCATGCTATGTGAGTATGGCATGATGTCACAGCCCAGGCCACATGGCAGCAGTATGCATGGCTCATTCACACGGAGCCATTGGGGGCAACAGGCCAAGGAATGTTGCTTGCACGGTGGGCATTGCACGGGAGGCCGGCTGCACATGCGTGCATTGCATGCAACATGGCTACTGCATGCAGTCACGACCATCTGCTTGTAATGACAGCGCGACGGGGCGCCTTGCTGGGGCCGTACCGCATGGACAGCGCGTGCACTGCACTTGCACGGCGCATGCATGACACATGTGTCGGCAGTTTACACGTGCCCCGGCTGTCCACGGGTGACACGCGGGTGTGAGAGCGTCTGTTCGACCTTGTGCACCCAATCCCTGTGCTGTTGTGTGGGGAGTCTGTAGCTGTTCGCCCAAGGAAGGGTCACAGAGGGTCGGGCTCTTCGTGTAAGGAGGGGTAACAAGTCACCGCAAGCTGACGCTTTGGACGGTGGACGGCTGCCTTGCTGGGCTTTGGGCCTTCGTATGTGTGCACGACAGGATCAGATGGGAGGAGTGTTACACATTGATACGAGGCACCAAGTGCCAGGGGTTCCGTCCTCAAAATGCAGCGAACCGTCGCGATTAATACTGGGTTACAGAGCGCGCGCGCGCGCGCGCGCGTGCGCAGAAACTTCCCGCCGGCCGCTCTGGGCTGGGTAGGGCAGTATACGCTCTGGGGGTCGTGTCATGCATATCAGTGCAATTTACGGATCATCTGGGTGTGCCTCGGACACACAAAGCAGTGGCATACAGCGAACGGGGGTGGGCGGGCGTCGCCGCTGCTGCGGTGATGACAGCGCGGTGAATTTAGTCACGGGGGTCGCAGGAGGGTGTCAGCGCTCAAGCAGTCTTGAGCGCGTCAATCATGCAATGCTCAACATATATCATACCATAATTTTGTATATGATATTTTAGGTGATGTGGTTACGCGCCAAGGGGCAGATAGGATCATGTGCACTGTATTCAATCAAAAGTCAAAGAGTGACTTGCCATTCACATGTCACGAACAGTCTTGTTGGTTACTCACTGTGCTCCCACACATGCACTGCACATGCATGGCTCGGTCGACGCATGCAGTGAGGTGAAAGTGAGCTGAAGACATTCCTGTGGCATCATGACAGCCACATGAAAGTCTTATGCATAGATACTGGGCACATCGTTCAACCAGCAATGGGCCGACTGCGAACTCCACTTGTGGCCCCTCACCACGCCCTCGGCCTGCCGGGTCATGCGGGCGATGGCACACCAGCGGCGGTTCAGTGCTAAGCCAGTCCATGTTGACAAGCGCAGCACCACTGCAAGGCGCAGCACAAGCAGTATGGAGGCACTTGGATGTATTTGACACCTTAGGGGGGAGATTGTGTTGAGCAGGTGTTGAGTCACAGGATCAAAGCAGGGCACCGTTGTCCCAGCTGATCTGAGCGCTTTTCCGCTCTGATGTGCTTCGTAGCAAGCGTCGTAGATCTGTTTTATATTTGGGAGGTCCATTCGATGATGCGACTTTTCACGTCGGTTTGACCTCGCTGATTTTGGGTCAAGCTGAGCCTCGACGTGGGACTGCCTTTCATCGCTGCAGTTTCTGGCTGCAAAGCACAACTCAAGATCCGACTCGCTTGGCCACGATCTTGATCACGGCAGCCATGGGCGCAGGCCAGTCTTCAGTGGCGCATGTGGTGCTGGATAAGGCCACGTTTGAGCACGGCGAGCCCGTCACGGGCTGCGTGGTGTTCAATACGCACAAGCCGGTGCAGTATCACAGCGTCACCCTCACGGTGGGCGGTGCAGGCGCTGAGCCACGCCGCACACCCTGTGCAAGCGTGCGCGCTGGCCGTGCCGTGGGCGTGTCCCTGCGGGCATGAGGCGAGCATGCATGCCGCGCACGCCTCCACGGGACATGTGACGACTTGCAGTTTGCGTGTGGCACCTGTTGCTCAGCATGGTTGTTTACTGCTCAATACCGGCCCGATAAGGTTCTTGGGACCGCCTCTGCCCTTACGGCAGGTTGTGGGCAAGGAGCGCACGCATTGGGAGGAGCGCCACCACACCAAGAACGGCACCAGCACCACCAACTATGACGGCAAGGCCCACTCCATCAAGGTGGGTCGGATCAAAGCCGCGAGCGTAGCTCTTTGCGCCACCACTGCGTGCGCAGAGGCGAAACCCTCCACAGTTTGTCACCAGCTCGCGCCTGCTCGCCCGGCCGGGTGACCAGGCTTCCCCTCACCTGCGCCGCCGCCGCCGCACCCGCCGCCACCTCCCCTACTGTGGCTTGCGGTGCCGCTCCTTCCCCAGGGGACAATACCCCTCCTCTCGGGCCCCGGCACCCTCAACCCTGGCGGCTACCGCCTGCCTTTTGCTGTGGCTCTGCCCAACGGCCTGCCGCCCTCGTTCAGCCTCAAGCAGGTGCGCTGCGGGCGGTGCCTGGGGCCGCCACGGCCGGCGCCGGCCGTCAGGCGGTATGCAGAATTAGACTGCAGCTGCCTGAGTGGGCTGCACGGCGGTGTACTCGTGGAGTGCTTTTGCTGCATCAAGCTCTGCCAGTTGTGAGGTTGCGATCACCCCGTAAACAACCACTGTTTCACAGGGCAGTGTCAAGGCATCCATCACTTGCAAAGTCAAAGCCATGGTTGACCAGGTGGGTGGAGGTGTTGCAGGGGTGGTGAACTTGCTGTGTCCCCAGAACCCCCCCCCCCCTTCCACACACACACACACACTCACTCACTCTCTTTTGGCCCTCATGCCCACACCCTCGTACATCCACCAAAAACGTCACCGGTCAAATCCATCCCATCCCATCTGCGAACTTGCACACAAGCAGGTCGGCATGCTGGCCAAAGATTTCAAGGCCTCGTCAGCCTTCGCCCTCCTGCCCGCCCCGCCCCGCGCCCCCGCGCCGCTGGCCGGCAAGTCCGAAACCGTGCTCACCGCCTGCTGCTGCTGCGGGCGCGGCGGCGTCGCCATGCACGTCGAGGCGTCCGCGGACGTGGCTGCGGCCGGGGACGGCGTCCCGCTTGTCGCGAGGGTGGGTGCACGCAGAGGACCGGCCCCGACCAAAATCGTTGGCCCTTAAGCACGCGAGCATGGGGGTATGGTGGAGCTGCCGCTGCCTCCTGAACACCTGCCAGCACGACGCAACATAGCCCTTCTGCCCTGTGAAGGCGTGTGTATCGTCCGGCCGACCGACCCCTCGACTGCCGCTCGGCGGGCGCGCAGGTGGACAATCGCTCCAGCGAGGCGCTCTCATGTGAAGCATCCATCGTGCGCTGCCTGCGCCTGAGGGCCGCGGGCCTGCTGGGGGACAACCACTACCACAGCGAGGCCGCGGTCGCACACAAAACCCTGAGGCCAGACGGCGACGCCGTCGGCGGCGGCGGCGGCAGCAGCACCGGCGGCGGGAGGGGGGCGAGGGATGTGAACTGCGTGCGCGCGGGCGGCTCCGCGGCGTTCAGGGAGGTCCTGCAGGTGGAGCCCGAGGCGATGGCGTCACTCACAAACGCGCAGGTGCGTGCGCGGCAGCGTGCGGCGGCTGCATGCATGGCTTGTTTTGAAAGGCTGTTGGACGCCGGGGCGGGATTGCCGGCAGAGCCCATATAAGGGCGGTCGCAGACGCAAGCTGCTGGCTGTTCCGCGCACGGCGATGGGCACACTGGAAAGCTGGCCTCAGCGCATGGGCCCTGTGCCGCAGCCCTCTGTGTTGGCTGCTGTCAGTCTTGCCACTGCACATGTCAAACATAGTGTGCGTTGCAACAAAACAATACATCTGTTTTCTGTACCAACCACTTGCCGGCGCAGCTCATCCAGGTCTGGCACGAGCTCAGGCTCACCGCCGCCCCCGCCGGCTGCTGCGTCTCCTCCGCCCGCGTCGCGTGCCCCCTCCTCCTCTGCGACTCCGCCGCCGCCCTCCAGAAGCGCGCCGCCGCGGCGCCCGCCACGCCGCCGGCGGTGCCGGAAGGGTGGCGGCCGCACGAGTACGAGGTGGCGGCCTTTGTCGTGGACAAGGGCGGCGCGGCGCGCAGGGTGCGGCCAGAGCAGCTCGCCCCGGCCGCCAAGCCGCTCGCGGTCGGCCCGGATGCGCCGCTCAGCGGCGGAGGCGGCGGCATCGGCGCTCACTGGGGTGCCGGCAGCGGCCCTGGGGGCGGCGCGGCGAACGCAGCTGCGTCAGGATGGGCCGCGGCCGGGGCATATTCTGTCGCGCCCCAGGCGCCAGCGGACTGGGGCCCGGCACCGAGTGCCCCTGAGCATGGGCCACCAGCAGGGTACCCCGCAATTGGCGGGGCCGTGGGCGGCGGCGCCGATTACCAGCGGGCGGCGGGGGCCGACGGCTACCCGGTGATCGGCGTAGGCGGCGGCGATGGGGCCGCCCCGATGATGTATGGGCCCCCGGTGCCTGCGAGCTCCCCGCCGCCTGTCCAGACTGAGCCTGGATGGTGAGCGACCACAGTGTCGGCCGCGCGTCGCGCCGTGCAGGTCTCGACCAGTGCCGGCACACCCCCCATTTCTCCGTTTGCGGCTCTCCCCTGTCTCCTGGAATGTCCGCCATCCCGGGTGTGATTCCTACCAGCAGGGTAATGGGTCCTGTCTTGGCAAGGATGACCGCTGGACGCCTCGACGTCTCAGCCACTGCCCGCGCCTGCTTGCTACAGCCGTTAAGCAGCGGCCCGCATCTGCCTACGTGCCCGGGAGCCTTGCATGGCGCTGTCAATGAAGCTGCAGGAAGCGTTACAAGTAAAAAGGGTCATGTGCAAATCGCAACAGGATGGGGAAGAAACGCGCGACAAAAAACCGAAGCCACTCACTCACATCGCACGAGGGCGCCAGCCGGTCGACCGCCGCGACTGCACTTCGCGGCCCCGAAATGCGGGGCCCGCATCTGTGCTTTGGCCCCCCATGCGAGAGCCCGGGGCGGCCGGGCCGGGGCGCACAAGCGCACGCGCTCCCTCAAAAGCGCTTAGATGCGCTTGAGCACGCGCCGCGCCGCCTCGATGGTGAACTCGATGTCGGCGTCGGTGTGCTGCAGCCCGGTGAAGCCGGCCTCGAACTGGCTGGGCGCCAGGTAGACGCCCTCCTCCAGCATGGCCCTGGGGGTTCGTGCGGGTTGCACAGGGTGGTTGCAAAGGTTGGTGACGAGGTCTTGGGGCTGAGCGGTTGCAGGCACCAAGCGTGGCTTTAGGGGGGAGTGGAGTGCGGCTCGTGACAGCGTGGTCCCATCCTGTGCCAGCAAGCGATGACTCAGCCCAGCCAATGAGTTCAAGGCGATCCGCGTGACGACCGCAACTTTGGATGGGTGCATGTGGGGAACCTCGCCCGCAGCACGCGGCCCAAGCCGCAGGAGGCGCCACATGCAAACAATGAGGTGTTCCCAGGCGTGAAGTTCCCACCCACCTGTGGAAGCGCGCGAACTTGGCGGTGTCGGCCTTGGCGGCGGCGTCCTCGTAGCAGGTGATGGGGCCGTCGCAGAAGAAGAAGCCAAACATGCCGCTGGGGGAGGGGGGTTGCGTGTGTGTGCGTGTGTGTTGTTATGTGCGGTGTGCGCGCGCGCGACGGGGGTGCGTGCATGTGGCTCAAGCCCACACCCATACGCGCGCACATGCACATACACACACACACCAACACTCGCATACACTCACACATGCACGCGCGCAGACACACACACACACACACACACACACGCACCTGATGTGGCCCGCGGTGATGGCGTGGCCGCTCTCCTTGGCCGCGGCCACGATGCCGTCCACCAGCTTGGAGGTCACGCGGTCAAGGTGCTCGTAGGCGCCGGGGCGGCCCAGGATCTCCAGGGTCTTGATGCCCGCAGCCATGGCCAGGGGGTTGCCTGGGGGGAGGGGTTGGGGGTTGAGGGTCGGTTGGAAGGGTTGCTGATTAGAAGGAACGTTCACTGGAAGGATTGCTGGGATGAGGGATGGGTGCTGCGCCAGCCTTGATGAGGAAGGGATGGATGCCTTGAAAGCGGCGGCGTCGGGGATTTGCGACGGGGGCTGATTCTTCTGCACTGCACACATCCCATGCGGCCGCTCTGCGGCGGCCGCGGCGTCGGAGCAGCTGTTTTGCGCGGCGTCCGAGGACCGACGCCTGGCCAGCCGCCGGCCCGCAGCGCGCGTCTGCCGCCCAGACTCCTCGCTCTGCTCCACTCCCGCATTTAAGGCTCACAACTGTCCCTGTTCAAAAAACCGTTCAAATCCGCCGCTCCCTTCCGTCCCACCACACACGCCTCCCAGACAACACCCAAGCCGCCGGCGTCCCCGCGCCGCAGGCGCAAGCACAACGCACCCGACAGCGTGCCGGCCTGGTACATGGGACCCGCGGGCGCCACGAGCTCCATGATGTCCTTGCGGCCGCCGTAAGCGCCCACGGGCAGGCCGCCGCCGATGACCTGCGGATTTGAAGCCGCGAAGCACAGGTCAGGCTTGCAAAGACGCGTTTGAGAGTGCATTACGCTGGGCCCACACCAGCCCCGAACATGCTGTTGGCAGTCATGTGTCCTGGGTGTCGCCGGCGCTGTTTGGAGACGACCAGACGCTGATTGGCGAAGAATTCTTGAATCCTCCTTGGCACATGCAGGAGGCGCTGACAGCGCAGCTGCACGTGTTTCCAGGGCCGCGCACCTTGCCCATGGTGGTGAGGTCGGGGGTGATGCCAAAGTGCTCCTGGGCGCAGCCCTTGGCGATACGGAAGCCGGTCATGACCTGCGATCGCGTATGCATGGGTACGCATGTGCGCGTGTGTGTACGCGTGTGCTCGTGAGGTTTTTCCGCAGTAGCGATGATTCCGCGCACTGCCTGTTGAGGCTGTGGCCGCCTGGGCCATCTCATCACCAAGTCACGCCAGCCGCGCCAGCCACGACCGCTCCCAACGACCCTCCTACTCACACACCCACGCCGCGACAGCGACACCCCCCTTATCAAACACACACACGCACGCATGGCTGCACAGCATCATCACATCACCATTGCCGCACCTCGTCGAAGCACAGCAGGGCGCCCTCGGCCTTGGTGATCTCCCTGAGGCCCTCCAGGAACTCCTTGGTGGGCACGATGAAGCCGCTGTTGCCCACAACAGGCTCAAGGATCACACCCGCGATCTGGGGGCGGGGTGATGAGGAGAGGGGTGCGGGTGGGCAAATGGCTGCTGAAGCCCTCGAGATATTGCTGAGGTGCACAGGACGCCACGCGGCGCGCGCCGGCGCCACCGCTGCTGCCCGCGTTTCGCACGGTTGTCCTCAGAACCTACCCCTCCAGCCCTCCAATGCTGCAAGCTCCCTGCCAACGCGCCAGTCCGCCACGCAGCGCAGGCCGCGATCCAGACAGCAACCCGGAACAACGCGCCCAGGCCCGCAGGCGCTTCGCACCAGCTCTGCCCCGATCGGATGACCCCGGATGGCTTTAGAAGCGGGCGACAGCCGTGTGCTGCAACACCGCTATCCCATCCCACCCTATCCCATCGTATCCCATCTTATCTTATCCTGTCCTGCCGCCCGCACCTGGCCCTTGTTGGCCGCAAACACCTCCCGGACGCTCTCCAGGTCGTTGTACGTCGCGTTGAGCGTCGCCGCCGCCGTCGACGCCGGCACGCCGGGGCTGTCGGGCAGGCCGAGGGTCGCGACGCCGCTGCCGGCCTTGACGAGGAAGGAGTCGGCGTGGCCGTGGTAGCAGCCCACGAACTTGAGGACCTTCTCGCGCTTGGTGTAGGCACGCATGAGGCGCAGCACGGAGAGGCAGGCCTCGGTGCCGCTGCTGACGAAGCGGACCATCTCGACCGAGGGCACGCGGTCGATCACCATCTTGGCGAGGACGTTCTGCGGGTCATGCAGGACAGCGGTGTGTGTCACGTGGGGTTCCAACCTGTTGGTTTGGTGTGGTGACCTGGCTCACACAGCTGTGGTAACCTGGCGCACAACGGCCCCAAACGGGCCTGTTGAGGAGCGGCCCCCCACATTGTTGGGCTGCACCACCCCTCGGCTGCAGCAAACACCACCGAGGCCGTGTCAGGTGGCGCCTCATGAACTGATTTTTCAGGGGCCACCCCTCTGGCCCTCTCGCAGTGCCTCGGACCTCCTTGCCCGGCCCCCTCCCAACGCCCGCCGCCCTCCGCCCCTCAGCACCCCTCCTCGCGCCGCCCCTCCGCACCTCCAGCGGGCCGGGGGCGCCGAAGCTGGTGCCCTTCTCCAGCTGCGCCCGCAGGACCTCGTTAACCTCGTCGTTGGCGGCGCCCACGATGGCGGGGCCCCAGGACCCGATGTAGTCGACGTACTTGTTGCCGTCCACGTCCCAGCAGTAGGGGCCCTTGACGCGGTCAAACACGATGGGGTTGCCGCCGACGGAGCGGAACGCGCGGACGGGGGAGTTCACGCCGCCGGGGAAGAGGGTGCGGGCCTCGGCCATCACCTGGGGACGGGTGCGCGGGGGAGGTTGGTGAAGGTGAGGGGGCGGCATTTGGGCAAGGCTGGGCGCAATGAGCAGGCGATCGCGGCGGGTTTGACAAGAGCAGTATCTCCCAAGGGATGTGGTGGAGCGCGGATGCGTGTGATGCGCTGCGAATGCTTGATGCAGGGAAGCGGCCGCTGCACCTCGCGCATGCGGCGCGGCACCCGGCTGCTTGATGGGCCCTGCCCCAATGGTTCTGCGGCAAGCCTAGAAGCTGGCTCGGCACATTCATCATGCTTTTCGCCATCGACTTTGGAGGCTGGGACGTCTCGACCATCTCTTTTGGCTGTCGCACCTCGTCCGACTTGGTGGTCACGAGCGTCTTCTCCACCGCGGCGACAGCACGGATCACGGGCATCTTTGAGCTCCTGCGAGAGCCCTGCGCCCTCTGGCTCCCCGCCACAGGCCTTGCGCTCTTGTTGAGCACCTGCATTGTGTCCGGTTGATGCTGCTGAGATGTGTCGGAGGTATTGCTTGTGATACAAGCAAACAAATGAAGGACTCGATCATGGGGCCGCTGCTCCTGAATCTTGGGCGGGGCACCTGATCACTAGCTGCGTGACTGCCTGAATGCCCGGAGCACAACAGCGAAGCTACCGCGCTGTCATGGCCTCCAACGCTGATAATTAGGGGCTTGCATGATTATTTGCCGGGCGACTGGACCTCACCAGCAACCAGCGGTCGCCGTCCATGACTCAACCGCCGCCCTCGCCGACTCGCCGCTCGCGCCCTCTCATCAGCAACAGCAACGCTGCAGTTGTGGCTGGTCGTGGGAGCTGGCGTGAATCCTTGGTGCCACATACCTCGCTTGCAAGTGCATCGCTTCTCTCGAAGACACTGTGCTGCTCGGCATCCCGCCGCTTGCTGTTTCCCTCCAGCAACCCACAGCAGCCCACAAAGGCACGATGCAAGCCCAACATTTGTTGATGGGATCCTTGCCCTCCAGCAGCTCTGTTGTGCGCAAACGTTTAATCAAAACTACTGCAGCACATGGCCAATAAAAACCACAGTGTATGTGAATAAGACATTCAACCTCCGAGCATCCTAGGGTGCCGCCGCCCCACACAAACAACACCACCGCAGCGCACGCATCAAGCCCTTCAGCGACAGGCGCGCGTAATGCATCCAAGCAAAACAAGTCTTTGCGACTCAGACTTGCTACTGCTGCCCCATGCTCTTGCTCTTAATTGCCTGAAAAATCTCCTCCACCAGCGGCCTGGGCGGGCGCGGGGCGTGGGCATGCGCGGGTGCCATGGGCAGCGCCCGTAGAGGGAAGGTTTCTCATTGGCAGAGCAGGGGTGCGGGATGCCAGCGCAGCGGGGCGGGGTGCCCAGCAGGCTCACAGCAGATGAGGTGGGGAAAATCGAAGGCTGCAAGGCAGCCTGGCCAGGCAGCCATACGCACTGCTTGAGCAGGGGGGGTGCAAGCAGAGGCAGCGACAGGCAGTTTGCAGGCAGTGGCACGCGGGGCTCGTCGCGGAGAGGCGGGGCGGGGCTCACCCAAGTGTGGGATGGTTGATCCACTTTTCGAGCGTTGCCGGCGTGGGGTTCTTTCGTACCTGTGCATTGGCAGGAAAAAGGGTGACGTGAGTTCCCCCCAGTCTGATGATGAAGCGACCGCTTTCATCGATGAAGCGACCGCTTTCAAAAATGATGCGGGCCGCCGGCGCCGCGTGGGGGGGACGCGTTTGTGAAGGTCGCACGCACAGCTGCGGAGTCACGCAACTGAGGACTGTGCAAGCCTCTATCCGGCCTCTGCACGGAACTGCGCATGCGAGACCCACGTTGAGGGACGGCTGCGCTTGTGAGTGTAGAGTGCCGCTGCCAACGCAAGTCTAGCCGCGTACATGCGACCTTCACGCTGGGCTCCACAAATATTTAAAAGTTTATGTGACCTCACACCTCCAAAATGCAGTTGTAGAACTCTGCGTCCTCATAAGCGCGCTGCAAGATCATTGGGTCTAGTGCACTACACTCACGCAGCGCATGCGTGTGTGTGTGTGTGTGTGTGTGTGTGTGTGTGTGTGTGTGCACGCGCACGTGTGTGTGACTGAGAGATGTTTGAGAGAGACAGAGCGTCTGTGCACATGTGCGTGCTTGAGTGTGTATCTTGTAATGATATCCAACAGAATACGCACGAATGCAAGCCAGCAGATTGCAAGGCTCAGTTGCCGCGGGAGCTGCCCAGCAGAGCGCCGCCCACTGCAGCTGCACCCAACACTGTTAGATGCAGCCGTACGGGCGGCTGCAAGTTCTCCACCACAAACTCCTACGGCCCGTGAATATCCCCCAGCACCTTGCCGCATTCCCTTCCTTCGCTGATAATACGCCTTCCGCACAAGCCCACCCCGCGCCCTCGCATCACCCACCGCGCCAGGTAGGTCATGTCGATGCGCCCTGTGGTACTCTGGCCCCACTTCTCTTTGAGCGCTCGCGTGAACTCCTGCGCTCGGGGCAGGGAGTACAGGCCTGGGGTTGGGCGCTTCGAGGTGCGCTTGCCCGGCACGGCCCCACAGGAGCGCTTCAATTGGGTGAATACAACGGCAGCGCACCAGGCGATCAAGCCGCCCACGCTGCAGGGGCCCAACGCGCACAACAGCGCATCTGTACGCCTGCTGCTCGGCGCGGCGCCACTTGGTCATTGGACACTTTGGTCTGGCGCCAAACCTGACGACTGACGCAATCTCGCTGCCCGTCACCTGGTGTCTGACCGGGTCTGACATGATGGCCTCCTCCAGTTGCACGATCGACTTGTACTGCTCCAGGCTTGCATCCCGCCTGCATTGTTTGCACAGCGCACACTGATCGGTGCGCGTTGAGGGGAAGGAAGCTGGGGTGGTTGTGTGTGTGAAATGTGCGCGCGGATGCAGGCTCGCGCTGAGGGGTGGGGTTCTGCGTCCTGCAGGGAGCCGCCACCGCCTGGGCAGCTGCCAGTATCAAAGGGAGGAATATAGCTGGGGGGTGGTGCCCTTGCAGATCTTCTTTGCTTTGAAGCATCGTCTCATGACCTCAACCTTGGCTAGAAACTCACCCACACAATAGACAGTGCAGGTGGTGGAGCACAATCATCAAGCCGAAAACCCACAACGCTCACTCCCCCTGCTCAAAGGCCAAGCATTTCGTGCTTGCAAAGCGATTCCCTCACTGCTGTATCATCGCCTGCAGACTGAGGCCGCCCTCCAGCATCTTCGCGTTTGTGGCCCGCAGGTACTCCCGCGCCGCGGGGTCGTCGGACAGCTCGAGACGCTTCATAAAAATCTTGCAGCTCTCGCTCGCCTCGCCCATCTGGTGGGTGGGCGGATTGTCGCGTGTTAAAGTGCATGCAATTCTGTGCGTGCGTGCGTGCGTGTGTGCGTGTGTGCTTGCTTGCGTGCGTGCGTGCGAGTGTATGTGCGCGCATGCGAACACGAGCATGGGCGGTTGTGCATGCTCGGTCGGCACAGCAACATGCGGACCAGCAAGCAGGCCAGCAAGCAGGTCTGCAGGCAAGCCCACTACCTAATGCCGAGGCATCAGGTGTTACCCCAGGCTGCCGCTGACAGAAACCGCTTTCCGCAGCAGTCGCCGGCTGCCATCAGGGTGAGTAACTGATCTATCAGCAGGGGTTGGCGGGCACTCAGCAGGAGGGGCCCAGGCGCCAAGGCCCGCACCTTCTCCACAAACATCTTCTTGCCGGTCAAGTCAAACTCTGCAAATTTGCCGGCCAGCATGGACAGCTGGAGCAGCTCTGTGGTCATGCTGCGGGGTGAGGCAGGCGGGGCGCAGGGCGGCGTGCACACATGTCGTGGGTCATGGCCGACGAAGCGCGCCTTCGTTCAGGGCTGCCGCCGGGCAGATGAGGTCTGCTGTATAAGCACGCTCTCCATATACAGTGCAATGCCAACAAGTAAGGATGTGCTCACCTGTCAAACTCCCGCACAGCGACTTCAGATTGGAATATCTTGCTCCTGAAAAGGTGGTCGAACGCATCACCAGTGCTGCACGGCGCACGGGTGGCATCAAGCGCAGTAGCTCAAGTTCAGTGGGTGTGGCTGATTAATCGGAAGGCTGGGGCAGAAAAGCAGCAGCATTTGACGTGCTGTGGTAATGGCGCCTCGTAGTGCAAGTTGATTCAGAGCGTCGGGCTATGCGAATGGGCTTGCTGTTGGTGAGGCCGGCACGCTCTGAGCTGATTCTTTGTGCTCGAACAAGCCCTCAGCTGCCGCCCAGAGACCCTTGCGGCATCCATACATCGCAAACACCACTGCATGACAAAACGCCCAGGCAAGAAGAAAATTACTATGGCTGTTCCTCACACCTGCTTGCCTGTCATCTGCAGGGCGGACTCGCAAGCAGCGCACGCGGGCACACCGCCCACTGGTGCCTCGGACCATAGAAGTGCGGCACATAGCCCGCAGCGTCTGCGGCCGTGCTGCACGACTCGACAGCCCACATTGACTGCATGAAACGCACAGCTGCATGGCGGGGCTCTCCCTGCCAGATCTGTCGTAACAAATGCTGTCGTGGATGGCCCGCGTTTTGACGAGGCGTGCACGTGAAAAGTAATAATGGAGCAAATGTCCAATGAATGATTGCTCATCCATGATCGCAGCTGCCGCACAATCTGTGCCTAGGATGATCCGAAGTGAGTCAAGACTGGGAGCTGGGAGATATGAGGCACTCACCTTTCGTAACGGGTACGGGCTTGATGGCTGACTTTGTGGCGGGCAGCATGCGTAGCATGGCTATGGGCCGATAAAATGACACAAGTTGGTGTGGGCCACATGGACACTGGTTGGCTGCTCCGCTGTGGGTGCCACACTCCATGCTTTCAAAAGCAACACATGCTGTTCAGCATGCCCCGCCAGCTTATGATAGTCCCACTAGTAAGCCCAAGCAGGCCTTGAGAGCCAACCAGAGCAAGGCGTGAGCCAAAGTCTTGTTGGAATCTTTGCCCCCCAGCGACCCTGCAGCGCGCATGCAACGCCCCAATACAAACCTTACAAGTGAAATGGTAGGTGCTCCATCAAGTGTGCGATTGGGTTTAGGATGACAACAAGATGACAAATCGACAAAACTGATGACAAAAGGGCGGCGCATGATTAAAGAAAACCGCAACGCAAAAATTAGACGTACAGCCTGCGAGCAACCGGGGGCAACGCCGCCCCATTGCAACCACACCACCGCAGCGCACGCACCAAGCACTCAGTGGCCAGTGCTGGGGCACGCGGCAGAGCACAAAGGGCAACCGTTGAACCACCGACTTGCTACTGCTGCCCCATGCTCTTGCTCATCATTGCTTTGAACATCTCCGACACCAGCGGCCTGGGCGGACACGGGACATAATACACACCACAGGGTTGAGAGAGGGCTTGTCATAAGCTGTGCAGGGGTGCGAAATATCAGCGCAGCGGGGCGGGGCGCCCAGCAGGCTCACAGCAGATGAGGTGGGGAAAATCGAAGGCTGCAAGGCAGCCTGGCCAGGCAGCCGTGCGGACTGCTTGGCTGCAGGGGCGTACGAGAAGAGGCGGCAAACGGGGGCTTGCAGGCAGCAGCCGGGACGCGCCGCGGGCAGGCAGTGCGGGGCTCACCCAATTGTGGGGTGGTCGATCCACTTTTGGAGCGTTGCCGGCGTGGGGTTCTCGCTGACCTGTAATTTTGGCCAGGTGGGGGAGAGGTTATGCGCGTCACTCGAAGGAAAGCGGAGCGGTCGCTATGAGAAGCGACGGCGCGTGGTAGCAGTCGCGCACGTGTGTGGTGGGAGGGGCGGCGGGCCTGCTAGGCTGAAACACAAACGCTCCCTGAACCCTTGGCCGAGATTGTGAGGCGAGCTTGTGGGGCGGCCGCACAGGCGAGTGTGACGTGCCAACGCCGCTTTGAGCCTCGAATGCAAGTGTACACACAATACTGACGCTGGGTGGAGCAGAAACGTGAACGTGTGCGTGAGATCTCGCACCTCCCGGATGCACTTGTAGAAGTCTGGGTCCTTCTGGGCGCGGTTCAAAACCATTGGGTCCATCACACTGTAGACACGGCGTGTGTGTGTTTAGGGGGGGCCGTGCGTGGTGGTGACAGAATCGTCAATATATAAATGAGTGGCAAGCCTGCAACATAGAGAGCCTGATTTGCAAGGGAGCCACCCAGCAGAGCACCGCCCACTGCAGCCGCGCCAGACGGCGCGATTTGTGGGCCGCGCGCGCGGCTGCAAGACCTTGGCCCCAATCCCAGGAACCCGGGCCACATGACTGCGTCGGCCCCGTTGCAAACCCCGTGCCGCCCAAACCACCCGAACCCCGCGCCCTCGCACCACCCACCCCCAACCTGCTCCACGTCCACCTTCACCCCCACCCCCCCGGGCCCCTGCCCCTCACCGCGCCAGGTAGCTCATGTCAATGCGCCCCATGGCGCTCTGGCCCCACTGCTCCTTGAGCGCCCGCGTGAACTCCTGGGTGGGGTTGGCGCAGGACGCGTGTGCTGGAAGGTGGGTGCCGTGCGCTGCGCGCCGCGCTCGGCAAGCCCCTCGGATGAAGCACACAGGCGCTTGAATCTGGTGTGATCACAAGCAGACACACGCCCTGGGGCGACCAAGCGCGGCCGCGCCGCAGGCAATGAAGACGAGGGGCTGCGCTCCCCTCGCGACCAGGGTGCGTCGCCGGCCGGCTCGCGATCTGGCGCCGGACCTGGCGGCCCGCATTATGTAATGGCTCGCGCAATCTGGCGGCCCGCGCGATCTGGCGGCCCCTCACCTGGTGTCTGACCGGGTCCGACAGTATCGCCTCCTCCTGCTGCACGATGGACTCATACTGCTTGAGGCTAGACTCCAGCCTGTGTCAGCGGGATGATGGGCAACGGTCGGCGCCCGGCGTACGGCGGCATGCCCAGGAATGCTCTATCGAAGCCTGGTGAAGCCACTGAGCATCGGACGACCATTTCGCGAGGGAAAGGCCCTCCCGCATGGAGAGCGGTTTGCTCGGTCAACCCCATCAGCGTTGTCACCGTCGATAATGAAGTCGGCACCTTTATGAAGAAGATCTGCGCCCCTGACGAAAGGTGCGCGTAGTGGAGCGCGACCACACACCCATGATCCCCTGGCGAGCCATCTCCCCCTACCAACACATACCCATAACCCGTCCCCCTCCCAGGAAAGGCGAGATGCGTGCAAGACAAGCCCCTCACCCTGGAAAATGGCCTGCACAACCACAACCATAATGGCCCCTTCCCCAGCTGATACATATTCATGACCCCCAAGCCCCTCTTCAACCCCTCACCCCTGGAACATGGCCTGCATGGTGAAGCCGCCCTCCAGCATCTGCGCGTTGGTGGCCCGCAGGTACTCCCGCGCCGCGGGGTCATCGGACAGCTCGAGACGCTTTATAAATATCTTGTAGCGCTCGCTCGCCTCGCCCATCTGGCGCACGGTAGCGCGCATGAGCGAGCGTGCCCACCGTACGTGCGTGAGTGCATGTGTGCACGCGCGCATGGGTGCGCCAGCATGGTGACGTACGGCAATTTGCGCGCAAGAGAGCAGGCAAGCAAGCAGGAGAACATACGTGCGCGCCAGCTGTTGGCAGCGCCCACAGGTGCCACAAAAAGCCGCCCCCGCGGTCCCTGGCGTTCCATACATACATCTGCCAGCTGGCGTTGGCGCTGGCGCTTGCGCTGGCGGCGACCTGGGGCGCGGGGCGTCACAGCACGCCGCACCTTTTCCAAGTACATTTTCTTGTCGGTCACGTCGAAATCCGCAAACTTCCCAGCCAGCATGGACAGCTGGCGCAGCTCCGTGGTGATGCTGCGGGGTGAGGGTAGGGGGGGACAGGGCGGCGGGAGTGACATGGCCGCCCTGTGACTCAATCGCCGCCGCGGAAGCCGGGCTCACCGGGTGGGCTATGCAAGCACGCCCTCGATGTAAGTGTTGTCGACAAAGCGTGTGCTCGCCGTGAAAGCGTGTGCTTGCCTATCGAATTCCCGTACAGCGACTTCTGATTGGAATATCTTGCTCCTGAAAAGGTTGTCGTAGGCATCACCAGTGCTGCAACAGCAGAGCGCAGGGCGGGGCATCGGGCGCCGCAGCGCAAGGTCAGTTGGGGGGCGCCTGCTCGACTGGAAAGACAAGGGGCAGCACGGAGTCGATTGCCGGCATGCTGTATTAATAGTACTGACTTCCTGACAAGAGTAAATTTAGCGTGCCAGGCCCCGCAAGCGGTGGGCGCCCGACCACTGTTTGGAGCCGTCGCAGTTGTGTTCAACATGCACTCAGCCCCCCAGGGACCCTCGCTGCCTCTCCGTGTACATGACTGCATGACAAAAAAAAGCAAGAACTGAACCACTTTTGCTGTTCATCACGTCCGCTTGCCTGTCATTTGCTGCGCAGACCCGCCAGCAGCGCGAGCGCACACACCACCCACTGCTGCTCCGGACCAAAGGGGTGCAGCGCGTGGCCCGCAGCGCCTGCGGCCGCGCTGCCCGATTCGACAATCCACATTGTCTCCATGTCCCGCACAGTTGCATGGCTAGGCTCTCGCCAGATCTGTCAGCCACCTAGGCTTGCGTGGATGGCCCGTTGACAGGGACGAAGAGCGAGGATTGCATGTGTAGAAAAAACGTTTCGAATAACGTGTTACCCAATTTTACAAATCGTGGCAAAACTCTCATGGTTCATGATCCACGGGGTCGCCCTGCCGCACACTTGGATCCTACGTAACCCGAAGAGGCATGTCAGAAGACTGGGGATGGGGACATGGTGCGTTCAGCTTCATATAGCTCGGGCTGGAAGACTGGAACAGTGTTGAGCCGGAGCCCAGCATGCGCAGCATGGCTGGGCGGGGGGGGGGCAAGTTGCCTCAGGGTTGTGAGCTGGGCCACATGGACACTGGTTGGATTCTATGATGAACTTGAGCTGACAGCGTGGTGTATACCCATCCTGTTGATGCCAAGCCGCTGGTACAATGTGCAGTTGTCCAGATGGCCGCCCCCCAGAAGATGTTATGCCAGATGCGCCATGGGTTGCAAATGAGGGGGGCACTTACTCAAAGCCTTTACCCCCAGCATGAGGCTGGTCAGAGGCTGCACGCACAGCGTTGGTTGGGCGGCAGTCGGGGTCACACCTGCGGTCGCCCTCTGGGAGCCCTGCACACCTGCACCGCACCGTACCGTCCCGTATCATTGCACGTTTGGGTCAAGACACGTGGCATATGAGAAAAACAGGTACTTTTACGTTGTAGTCTGTACAACCATATCACAGCGATATCGTTCTCTACGTCTAGCTCTGTCAAAGTTGCCAACGTCCTGCCGCGAGATAGAAAATTCGTCGAGGTGCGGTTAACATCGACCAATTAGACTGTTTATAGGTGTATGAAGGTCTTGATCGTCCTGGATTTAGGTGCACTGGCTCGCGGGGCTGGCTGGCTTCGACAGGCAGCGGTTCGGCCACGCTGCGAGGCATTACCGTTGATCAGTAACTTTAATTACATCGTGTACGGTAGAATTCGTCTGATTTCAAATCTTGTGACGTCTGGTTCATGGGACGACTGCTGTGGCCGCCTGATGCATGTGATGCGTAGCCAGCTTGACCGCGAACGGGTCCACCAGCGCACCAACCACCACAGCGCTGCTGGCACCCCAAACCTGTTGCTTGACCAAATATGACGGGACGCCATCTGCATGCAAGAAAACCCAAATGTAGCGCAGGCATAAACCCCCAGCCCAGCCGACACGGCCCCACCTGCGCCACGCCTCGCACCATATCCCGCTCGCCGCGCGCAGGCGCAGCCATGCCGCGCCCGGCCTCCCTACTCGCCGCGGCGGCCGCGCTGCTACTTGCCGTCGCGGCGCCCGCGCGCGCCGCGTACCTGCAGCGCCCCGAGCAGGACTGCCTGAACCCCATGGTGGCGAAAGTCAACCAGTTTGACTTTTTTCCCGATGAGTACCGGTCAATGGTCGACAAGGCCCCCGCCCACGGCTTCCAGGCCGCCAGCCAGGTGGGCACCTGCAGGCCGCCTGCATTGTCGCATCCGCAGCAGAGGGCAGCGCACGCACTGCGCGCAGCGGCAGGCCCTGCTAGCTGTGTGCAGGGAGCGCTGCGTCGGGCGTGCATGTGGGCGGAGCGTGGGCACCGGTGCAGCGCCTCGACCATGCAATTACCGCTGGTTGCGCAACCACTTGCTTTCAGGTGACCGAGGCTGCTGATTTTGACATCAAGTACTACGGGACTTACAAGGTGTGCGGGGCGGCAAGCCATAGAAAATGATGCCAGCCGGAGGGGATGGCCTCCTGGAGCGTGGCGGGAGGCGGTGGCAGACCACACACCACGGGTCAAATAGCATCCCTTCCCAAGGAGAGCAACATGGATTAACGTCCGCTCGGCCGACTGTGCTCTGGCATTCCATGACCAGTGCAACACCGCGGGCGTTTGGCGAGCGCGCCGGAGCAGCTTGTGCGCAACTGCTGCCCCCGTGACGGCGCACACTGCCTGGCCCCCTGCGCGCCCAACCCTGCCTCGCAGGTCGTGCGTGTGAAGCGTTTCAAAAAGTCATACCTCCTCTACCAGGTGTGTTTGTAAGAGAGAAGAGACAGCGAGAGGGAGGGTGATTGTTTGTACACACTTGCGCATAACGTGGTCGAATGAGTGACGTCGCGAAGGGCCAAGTGCCATGGTGCAGAGGCCATGAAAAGTGAGCAGCGTGATTGCGAGACGCGTGCACCCGTAAAGCAGTGCCGACGAGCGCCTCCCCCCGCTGTCTGGGTCCTCTCCGCAGTGCGGCACCCCGGACCCCTCCACGCTGCCAGCCGGCGCAGCCGAGGGCGTGACCCCTGGCATGACGTCGTTCGAGATCCCGCTTTACTCAGTTGCCGTGACGGACACAACTGTCAACGGTTTCCTGGTGGGCCCCCGGCAAATCCATGAAGTCGCAAAGAGCCAATGCGTAAAAAACTTATGACTCAATGGGAGGGGCAGGCTCGGGACCAGAGCCATGGCGTAGCAGGGCCTGCAGCAGAAAGGCGAGGAGCCTGCATGTGCAATCAGCGTGAAAGCACCGCAACACTTTGCAACGGGCGGCCGCTTGTCAGTTTTATTGCCATGGAAGCGCCGCCCTGTTGTCCTGGCTCCCTACCTTGCGGTCAAAGCACTTGCATCCTCACCGCCATCCATCACACTCGATCCCGCCACGTCGCGTTGCATCCCAGTCTGAGCTGAACCTCATCGACCGCGTGGCTCTGGCCAGCCCCTACTCTGTTGAGAGCTGCTTCCAGCGCCTGGTGGACACCAAGAGCCAGGACGGTGCGCACGACTGGGCGGGACTCACGAGCTCCCCTCAATGGACACGCGCAGCCGACGTGTACACGCAGCTGCTGGCAGAGGAGGCAGTGGCACACGCGCCGGGCGGCGGCTGGCAGGCTGAGGGGATCAAGCAGGGGAGCAAGCCGCCATGGATTTGCCTTGCACCGACCTAGGCAATCCACGTTCAGGCGGCCTCGCAACAACATGATCTGCCCCTTGGTGTAAGAACACCCCCGTTTGCCCCTCCCAGGCTGCAAGCTGGTGACGCCCAACCCCTTCTTCAACACCAGCGACCCCAACGCGGAGGGGGCGTTCAAGGAGGCCAACGCCACCATGTACGAAGAGTCAGACGCTGTCTTTGTTGGCTTCAACGACGATGCGGCGAAGGACATCCTGTTCCCGTGAGTTGACCGAGAGGGTTGACCGGGAGCCGCGTGCTGACTGCACTGGTAGCTCACCTGCGCTTTTGCAGAGTGTGGGTGGGCTGTCTTGCAGTTGCGACTCGCATTCCTAATCTTGGACCCTACTTCGGGGCGCCAACGACACACTTTTATCACTCCACTGCAACCAGACCGTTTTCCCTCACACAATGCCGTCGCCTTTGCAGCGTCACCGCTGACCCGGGTCCCCTGAACCGCGCCGAGTGGATCAAATTTGTTGCGGCCTTCTTCAACAAGGAGATCGACGCGAACAGCGCTTTTGACAGCATCAAGGTGCGCGCTGTCAAAACCTGTCTGATACAGGTGGCGGTTGGCTGCGCAGGGCAGTTGACGCTTTAGGCCTGGTGGCTGCGCCACTGTTCAGGCGTGTGCCGTCGAGTAAGCTGTGGTCGCTCGTTGCAGCTGTCATCAACGGCGTTCGAGATGGTGGCTTGAGGGGGGACGTCATGTCGCTGGCATATTGCTCAACTCAACAAACGCATGTGTACCGGGCCCCAGTCGACCTACAACACCCTGAAGAAGCTTGTGGCGGACAAGAGCGGGGAGCCGACCGCCAGGCCGCGGCCCAAGGTGGCGTGGGTGTCGACCAACAGCAGCGGCGTGAGCTTCAGGATGGATCCCTTCAAGGTCACACTGGTCAAGGTGGGGCGGAGACGGGGACGGGGAGGGGGGGGGCAGGGAAGAGTGAGGGAGTGCGAGCTTGCCTCTTCGGCTGTGCAGGCGTTACCCCTGCTGCGCGGGTGCATGTGTACTTGTGTGGGAGGGGAGGCGCAGGTGTGTGTGCGTGTGCGTGAGAGTGTTGAATAGTGAGGGGTTGTGTAAGTGTGCTTTGTGCGCATGCGTGCCGGTACATGCGTGGATAAGCCTGTGGAGTCAATATGCGCGGCAGCATGAAGGCTGTGGCCGCACGCGTGCCGATGACATGATTGTTGGGCAGCGACCTACTTTTCCAGAAAGAGTGGGGCACTCGTTGCCAATGCTACTGGAATATCAGCAGTGCCCCCACAGAAAACGCACCCATGCACCCGAGCAAA